GACTAGACGGACCTTTGTTGACAAAGTAATGTCTCTGTTTTTTAATATGCTGTCTAGGTTGTTCTCTAAGGAGACTTTATTTCTCTTAGTGAGGATGGGACAGTAACTGAAAATAAAGCACTGAGAAGGACCCAGCATCATTTTTGTGGTGTTCCAGCCAAACAGCATATCATAAATCTAATTGTGAGGAAACATCAGACAAGCTAAAACTGAGGGGTCTTCCAACAAACAAGAGGCCTGCACTCCTCAGAGATGTTGATGCTCAGAAAGGCAGAGGAAACAAGACTAAAGGAACACAAAAACCAAATGTATTATGTGATGCTGGTTTAGATCTTGATCAGAAACTTCAGAAATGCTATCTGATGAACATCTGGGGACAACTTAAACTTGAATAAGGATTATAGATTAGATAATAATCTTGTTGTCCTTTAGTCACTGAGTTGTGTCTAACTCTTTTTGACCCCGTGGACTGTAGGCCCCCGGGCCCCTCTCCTCTAGGGGATCTTCTTAACCCAGGGATTGAACCTGGGTCTCCTGCTTGACAGGTGGAATCTTAACCACTGAGCCACTCCGGAAGCCCAGTAATATTGTATTAATACTAATTGTTATGATTTTGAGAGAAGGATAAATGTTGCAATATGTGGTGAAGGGCATGTAGAAATTCATATATTATTCTTACAAATTTTCTGTGAGTTTAAATCTATTTCTAAAGGTTTTCTTAATGGACAATATGTATTCACTGCTGTACTGTTTACAGTAGCCAAGATGTGGAAGTGACCTAAATATCTACCCACAGAGGAATAAATGAAGAAGATGGAATGTTACAAAGCCATAAAAAAATGAAATAATGCCATTTGTAGCAACATGCATGGGCCTAGATATTATCACACTAAGTGAAGTAAGTCCAACAAAGACAAGTATATGATACAGCTTATATGTGAAATCTAAAAAGAAATGATACAAATGAACTTGTGTAAAAACAGAAACAAACTGAGAGAATGAACTTACGGTTGGGGAGAGGGAAGGGTTTGGGGAAGGGACGTTAGGGAGTGTAGGATGGATATGTACACACCACTATATTTAAAATGGATAACCAACAAAGACCCACTCTATAGCACAGGGAACTCTGATCAATGTTATATAGCAACTTAAATGGAAAAAGAATTGATACTTGCGTACGGGTAACTGAATTACTTTGCTGTATGCCTGCAACCATCACAACACTGTTAATCAACTATACCCTGATATAAAATATAAACTTAAAAAAAATAAAATTAAAATAAAAAATGGACAATATGGCATCAAGGCAAGTTTCCTACAGTATGCTACTGGTCCACATATGAATGATAGTTTACTCAAGCAGAGAAATTTTCAGTACTGATGTAATTATTAGATATAACAAGCACGTCTTTTAAGACATAGTTTCACAAATATCACCTTAGTGGTGGCTATGTTTAAAGAAAACTTATCAGTAAGTAATAGCACAGAAGCTAGGAAATTCCTTGAGATTCTTGGTAAAATGCAGATTCTATTTCAGCAGGTCCAGGGTGGCGCCTGAGATGGAGCCTTTCTAAGAAGCTCACAGATGATGCTGATGCTGTGGGTCTGTGGACCACTCTCAGAGCAGCAAGGACTCAAGGCCCTGAGGAGAACGGCTCTCCACAGAACATTCCATAGAATTCAGTTTCTGTCTCTCCCGTGCTTCACCCCTTGTTCATGTTCTGAAGGCAGCTGCTCACTGAAAGAATTTGCTAAGAAAAAACAACCAAAAGAAGACCAAAAAAAAAAAAAAAAGTTTAAGAAATTCACAGCTCTACACTAGAGGTTGATTAGGGTCAAAAAAAAAAAAGATATATTTAAACCTAATTAAGATAAAGGATTCCTCCTTAGGCTGAGAGAAACTCCAAAAGTGAAAGCTCCGAGGACGTGTCGACTCCTGTCAGATTTGTCAGAAAAATGTTCCATCAAGGAGATGCACTGACAGCCTTGAAGGGTTGACAGCCCTGCCTGGTAATTCTGAAGGCAATTTTCATATTATAAAACTTGAGAAATAATACCTAATACTGATCAGTTGCTTTAAACTTTATAAAACCCTTTTGCAGGCATTAATGCATCCAGGGTCTGACCTCTTAATCTGTTATTGCTCCTATCAAACTGAAGGCTGTGGACTGCTTCACAGTAGAGATCAGGTCTATCTCCCCAACATTTGGCAAAGGCCTGGCATCTATTCATAGCAGGATTTCAACAAATATTGGTGCAAACAGAGATTTTTTTTTTCCTCCTGATCCTCAAATACATAATAGCACATTTCATTTCATTGAAGTTACCATCAATTATTATGATCCACTATGATGTTAAGTATCTCTAAGAAATAAAAATAGTTGCCATTTAAACCTCTTGCCCCATTGATTGGAACATCCTAACTTTGGAGGTATTAAAATGAGAAGGAGAAACCTGCATCTTAGAAATTGACAAATATCATATATTAATGCATGTATGTGGAATTAAAAAAAAAAAATGGTACCAATCCACCTGGTTCCAGAGCAGGAATCAGGAATAGAGACACAGATGCACAGTACAGAAGTGTAGACACAATAGGGGAAGGGAGGGGTGGGATGAATCGGGAGATTAGGTTTGACAAAAATATACACATTACCATGTGCAAAATAGCTAACAGGAAGCTGCTGTCTATCAGAGGGAGCTCAGGTCGGTGCTCTGTGATGACCCCTGTGGTGGGATAGAGGCAGGCTCGAGAGGGAGGGGAGGTATGTATGCATATAGCTGACTTACATTGTTGTACAGAAAAAATAACACAACATTGTAAAGCAATTATACTCCAGTAAAATAAAAGAAATTGAGAGACGGCAATAGCTGCGCTTTCCTATGGGGTCACCCACCCAACATAGAAAGAAAATAGATAACGGCCAAATGTTAGAGTTGCTGAAGATACCGTAGGGAGGGAAGGAGACAAAGAATAGGGAGAGATTTCTTTTTTTATATACTGTATGATTCTATTTATGTCATATTCTAGAAAAGACAAAGACATAGTGATGAGTGAATCGAAGTTATAGACATTTTTCAAAAGAAATCAAACTGTACTCAAAATTAGTGATATTTGTCTAAAAGTTATACCTCAATAAAGCTGATTTTTAAAATCCAGGTTTTTTGTTGTTTTTTTTTTTCCCCAATGACTTGGGGCAGACAAGACTCTTTCTCAGACTGTAGTCTGGTTGGCAACCATCTTTTCTCAGGAAGAGCATCAGTGGATTCCTGCCTCTACAGGAAAAAATACAGACCAAGTGCCCAGCAGAATCCATGAGACAGTGTTCCAAGTTCAAGGACCCTTTAACAGAAAGCATAATGGAGAAGGAGGCGGAGGGGGAGGAAGGGAGGAAGAGGAGGAGGAAAGGAAAGGATGTCATTTACTGTCTTCTTACACAAACCTGTGCAGTAGCTAACAGGGGAACCCAGTGCTATAGAAATCCTGCGAGCGGGAATGTGAGGATCAACTGTACAGAAGGAGACTAAGAATTCTCTGCCCCTGGCATAAAAGCCTTGATTCAGGTCAGACACCTTTTGGCTAGGGGTCAAGAAAGCACTTCTGTGTGTCAAAGAAGACTGTCCCAATTGGCTGTTGTCATTCAGTCCCTATGTCCAACTCTTTGCCACCCCAGGCACTGTAGCACACCAGGCTTCCCTGTCCTTCACCATCTCCCAGAGCTTGCTCAAACTCATGTCCATTGAGTCAGTGATGCCATCCACCGATTTTATCCCCTGCCACCCCTTTTCCTCCTGCCCTCAATCTTTCCCAGCATCAGGGGCTTTTCCAATGAGTCAGTTCTTTGCATCAGGTGGCCAACCAAAGTATTGGAGCATCAGTTTCAAGCATATGTCCTTCCAGTGAATATTCAGGGTTGCTTTCCTTTAGGATTGACTGGGTTGATCTCAACTGGTGTTCATAATAAATGCCAGACTTTAGGACCTGGAGAGACAAATGAAGAAATCTGAAACACCCCCAAATGAGGCCATCCCTACCTGGGTGAGCCAAATATCACCACAACTCAGGGTGATGGCCACACCCCACGTGGCTCTGCAGCTGTCTTCATTTCAGCGGAAAGAGCATTTGAGATTCTCTCTTAAGTAACAACCTTGGGCAAGTTACTCTGTGCCTGTTTCCTTGTCTATAAAATGATGAATGCAATGATAGTACTCACCTCATCTTGAAGTGAGGATGAACTCAGTTAATCCATGAGACGTTTGGAGCAGTGTCTGGTGTCAGGCAATCACTTCGATGAATGCTAGCTATTTTCACTACTATTATCTGATATAATTTTGCATGATGGAAGCTATGACAGGACTCAGTCCTGGACTAGGGGCTGTGTGACAGTTTCCATGAGCTGACACGGTTCCCAGATTCTTGTGTGTGTGTGCAGTCCCTCAGTCATGTCCGACTCTTCACAACCCACTGGACTGCAGCCCACCAGGCTCCTCTGTCCATGGAATGCTCTAGGCAAGAATACTAGAGCGGATCGCCATGTCCTCCTCCAGGGCATCTTCCCCACCTAGGGATCAAGCCTGTGTCTCTTCCATCTCCTGCCTTGGTAGGTAGATTCTTTACCACTCGCCACTGTGGAAGCCAAATTCTTATCCCCACTTTTTTTGTTTTTAATTGACTTCCACTTTAACAGGGAAGGGCTTCCCAGGTGGCACTCGTGGTAAAGAATCTGCCTGCCAATGCAGGAGATGTGGGTTTGATACCTGGGTGGGGAAGATCCCCTGGAAGAGGGCATGGCAACTCCCCTCCAATGCCATGCCTGGAGAATCCCATGGACAGAGGAGCCTGGCAGGCTGCGGTCCACAGGGTCACAAAGACTTGGACACAGGCAACAGGAAAATGAAAGCAGCCAGACAAACCGCAGCTGCTAGGAAGAGCGCAGCTCCAGAAAGTCGGGAAGAGTATGAACCTGCAGGAAGCAAGACCACTGCCGCTTCCCACGAAGGCACCTCGCCGCCGCAGTAGCTCAGAGACCAAGCTGCTGGTGGTCCAGCCGACCTCCTGGCGGCCCTGCGTCTGCTTTCAGGGGGCAGATTGTCTGCCGCGTCATCTGGCTTGTGCGCGGAGACATTGGCCTCCGGAATCAAACGTGTCTGCTCATAAAGCAACGCGCCGCCCGCGCCGCCAGCCCCGCGCGCGTGCCCCCTCCGGAGCGGCGCTGCGGGCAGCTTTCGTCTGTCAGCTGCTTCAGCTGCTTCGGCACGCCGTCATTTGGAAATGTGTAAAGAGGCCCACATTATCTTCTCCTGAGGTGACGAATCAAGTACAGGGCCCGCAAGCCCAGACGGTTCAGACGCCAAATAAGCAGAACGCCGCGGGAGCGGAGGTGGCCCTCTCCCAGCAGCTTGTGGAAAACAAGTCTACTTCTTATCGGAAAGGTTAATGAACCAGGCTGTCCCTCACCTCTGATTGTGGCTGAACGGAAATTAGGGGCTGTTTTTAATCTATTCTGCGGCAACATCATCATGGCAGGTCACCGAAGTTCATAAAGAAAGGGTCTAACACTTCTCTGGGAAGTTATTTCCAATACCCAGTGGAAAGTGAAGTCGCCCAGCCGTGTCCGACTCTTTGCGACCCCATGGACCGTAACCTACCAGGCTCCTCCATCCATGGGATTTTCCAGGCAAGAGTACTGGAGTGGGTTGCCATTTCCTCCTCCAGGGGATCTTCCCGACCCAGCGATCGAACCCGGTTCTCCCGCTTTGCAGGCACAAGCTTTGCCATCTGAGCCACCAGGGAAGCCAATACCCGGTGACCAGTCATTAATGACAAGTTATTAAATTTTTCTCTGATACACTGCTGTTATTTTTAACTATATAAGATATATGAATATATTAGGTAGAGTAAAATGAATAAAAGTATTTTCTTACTAAATAAGACTCTGTTAGGTGGTGCTAGTGGTAAAGAACCAGCTTGCCACTGCAGGAGACGTGAGTGACTCGAGTTTAATCCCTGGGTCGGGCAGCTCCCCTGGAGGCGGGCGTGGCAACCCACTGCAGTATTCTTGCCTGGTGAATTCCATGGACAGAGGAACCTGGTGGGCTACAGTCCATGGGGTCTCAATCAGTCAGACACTGCTGAGAGACTAACACTTTCCCTTTCATTCATACAGATGTGTAGTTATGTAGTTTATTACAATTGATGCCGTATATCTTTCTGAAACTTCGCTGAACTTGCACCAAAGACCTCTGTCTTTCTTTCTTTCACTTGATTCCCCTGCTTCCCTATACGAGCTGGGGCCAAACCGTTGAAATCTGGGGTGAGGAGGGGAAGATGCCAGAAGGGAAATGAGAAGCGGGGACTTGGTTGCCTTTAGGACAGATAACCAGCAGACTGAAAGCTTTTGGAGGCTTGATCACAAAGTACAGCACCTGCTCTATCTCAAAATTCTGCCCAGAACGGTTGTATATTTCATGAAGCTTCACATGGTTAAAAATAATCATACCCAGGGAGCTTTTTTTTTTCCCACACAGAATACATAATGTGTTTTTCCTTAGAACTGCATATTCCATCCTCAAGACTCTGAATAAGTACAGGGGAGAGATCCATCCTGAGGAAAATCAATTTTGTGAGAGAAGCAAGGGATGGTGATGCTTCAAGATGCAAAGGCAACATTTGCCGAGAATTCCCAACTGGGGAAGGAGGCTGGAACCTTAGCCATGTCTACATTGCTGATTTGGGTAATGGAATTGGGATACAAGTGGAAGTTGGGTTGTCTGTATTATATTCACGTGTAAACTAATTTGAGAGGAAAATGATAATGAACCAGTACTGAAGTTTAGCCAATAGTCTAGCTGATGAATTGTGCCCACGTAACCATCCTGGAAATTCCAGGCACAGCCAGGGGAAATGGTCATTTTGCGTGTGGTGTGTGTGTGTGTGTGTGTGTTTATTTTTCAACTTGAGATATAGCTCCATGTCTAAATTATCCAAGCCATGCATAGTCATCACATAGCAAACATTTAAGATACCTCAGTATACATGTAAAGTGGGCCTTTTTACAGAGGGGTGAGTGATCAACTGACTGCAGGACACTTTCACTTAAGAGGAAACCAAGAAGGAAAAAAAGTCTGAAAAAGCATATATACAGACGACTCATTGGAAAAGACCTTGAGGCTGGGAAAGATGGAAGGCAAGAGGACAAAAGGGCAGCAGAGGATGAGATGGTTGGATGGCATCACCCACTCAGTGGACATGAACTTGGGCAAACTCCAGGAGATATTGAAGGACAGGGGGACCGGGCACGCTGCAGTCCATGGGGTCACAAAAAGTCAGATACGACTTGGGGACTGAACAACAGCAGCAAATATATAACTGAATCACTTTTCTATGCACCTGAAATTAATGCAAAATTATAAATCAACTCTACTTCCATTTTATTAAAAAAAAAAGAGGAAACTAAAAAGGAAGAGGAGGAGTCCAGACTACTCATGAACACCTCACTCCTTATACCAAAGAAAGTTTCAGCAAGTGGAAAGGAAGTACACACCAAAGATTTCTGACTTCCCCTGGAGTTCTGATCTGGGAACCCCTACCATCCTGATGGTCTTCCTAGCTGAAACACTCTGGCCAAGATTTTCTTGGTCTCGTGCTTGAAGGACCCAAGGTCTGATTCTGCTACTGAGAGCAGAGGAAAGCATTCAAGTACTGATTCCCTTTGTCCATGGCTGTGAAATCTTCCCGGTGACTGTTAGTTAGTATTAGTTGCTCAGTCATGTCCATTTCTTTATGACCCCATGAACTATAGCCCACCAAGCTCCTCTGTCCATGGAATTCTCCAGGCAAGAACACCAGAGTGAGTAGCCATGTCCTTCTCCAGGGGATCTTTACTCCAAAGTTGGAGTGGGTTGCCATTCCCTTTCTCCAGGTGATCTTCCTAACCCACAGATCAAACCAGGTCTCCTGCATTGCAGGCAGATTCTTTACCATCTGAGCCATCAGGGGAGCCCCAGTGATTAGGAAGGTTTAAAGAGAAATCCATAGAGTGGGCATCTTTCTTTCTTCTCACCAAGAAGATGAAATCAAGACAATAGATTAATCCCTCACAGTAACAACATAAGGAATTATACTTAAGACCGACATAAAAGCAGTGGGATAAATGCCTTCCTAAAAGAATAAGAAGACATCATGTCGCTTAATGGGGAAGGAAGATCTGGAAGCCAGTAATTAAATATACTGGGTAAAATGTTACACTCAGATAAATGAAAAGTGCTCCCTGATGTGAAAAAGGGTTCCACAACCCCTATACAGAAGTCATGCATGCCTCCATGAAGGGTGTCATTGGTTTGGGCTATAAGTGACAAGCAGGAACTGGTCAGCTGGAGCAACAGGGGAAGGACATTCTGGCACAAGCAAAGAGCACGGCAAAGGCATCAGGGTATCTGAGTGCAGAGTGCAACCCATGTCTTTGGATAACAAGCAGCTGTTGTTTAGTCCCTAAATCATGTACAACTCTGCAATCCCATGAACTGCAGCGTGCCAGCCTTCCCTGTCCTTCCCTGTTTCCTGGAGTTTGCTCATACTTATGTCCATAGAGTCGGTGATGCCATCCAACCATCTCATCCTCTGTCACCCACTTCTCCTCTTGCCCTCAATCTTCCCCAGCATCAGGGAAGGCAAACACAAGATGAAACCAAAAAGGTGGAGAAGGACAGTTTCTTGGGATCTTATTCACCATGGCATTATCCGAGGGTTGAAGTGGAAAGCCATGGGAATTTGAAATCAGGAGAGCAATAACATGGATGGGATCACTGGGGACTGTGTGGAGGATGAGACAAAGGGGAGAAAAAACATTTGTGGAAGCTTCTGCAATTGTCTAAGTCTGAGATGATACTGGCCTGATTTGAAGTACTGGCAACAGTAATAAAGAGGAGTAAATTAGAAAGACATGTTTGATTACAGAACACATTGGCCAATTAAATGGGGGAGGATAAGGGAGGAGAGGAGGCATGAATGATAAGATTTTTATCTTGAATGGTTGGGTGGAAATTGACATCATTTATCAAGAAGAACCAGGTTTGGACAGATTGGGTTTGAGATGCCAAAGGAAAGTCAAGCAAGATTGTCCAATAAAGAATGAGAAATATCAATCTGGTTAGGAAGTTTTATTTGTAGTGGGTTCTTACACTTTTATGTGGGCTTTCCTGGTGGCTCAGGTGGTAGAGAATCTGCCTGCAGTGCAGGAGACCTGAGTTCAATCTTTGGGTCAGGGAAGATCCCCTGGAGAAGGAAATGGCAACCCACTCGAGTATTCTTGCCTGGGAAATTCCATGGACAGAGGAGCCTGGTGGCTTCAGTCCATGGGGTCGCAGAGTCGGAAATGACTGAGTGACTGATACTTAATGGCTTATTTAGTTCCTTAGAAAGTTTGACAAGTATTCAGAGAGAATGAGAAAATAGAGTCTGTGTCCTCTGAACTTACATTTCTACAAAATCTCAAATAAAATTTGTGCCCAGTGAAATTCTCTCCAGACTTCCATTTTCCATCATAACAAAGATCAGTTTCCATCTATAGGAGGCTTCCTTCTGTTCCCAAATTTCATTGTTTTCTCTCCCTCCTCTGAATCCTGCTTTCAAAGTGCATGTTGACAATGCCTCTTCTTTGGTATTTATTTATATGAAACTTGTGCCTAATTTTGTCAGTTAAGTTTTCACAAAGGTGTGCCTTGCTCTCCCCCAAATAAACTGGGAATATCTTTCAAGGCAAGAGCTTTATTTCATCCTTGTTAACTCTAAGGACCTTGTATAATGTCCGTTAGAATGTGGCAGCTTAGTTGAGTCAGACTTCCCAGGCTTAAATCCCAGCTTTTTCACTAACTTGTTACCTGGGGCAAGTTATTTGTTCCGTGTTTCAGATTCCTCACCTAAAAATGAAGGCAATCACCATACCTACTGCTTAAAATTGATGTGAAAATTAAGTGACGTGAAAGTCGCTCAGTCGTGTCTGACTCTTTGCAACCCCGTTGATTATACAGCCCATGGAATTCTCTATGCCAGAATACTAGAGTGGGTAGCCTTTCTCTTCTCCAGGGTGTCTTCCCTACCCAGGGATCAAACCCAGGTCTCCTGCATGCAGGCAGATTCTTTACCAGCTGAGCCACAAGGGAAGCCCAGTGAAAATTAAGTGAGATGACAAATGCAAAGCACTGCCTAAGTTCCTAGGACGCAGTAAGCGTTCAACAAACATTTGTATCAGGATAAGTTCTGATGTGCTGTGTTAACAAACAGCCTCAGTGTTTCCATGGCTTGAAACAAATGAGGATTTATTTCTTCATGCTACACACTGATCTATGAGATTTCTGCTCATCACATCACTCAAGGACCCAGGCTGACCATCAACATCATCTTGAATATTGCTGGTTGACAATGTCAGAGGAAAAGAGA